GACAGGCTTTTTAGTACTCTCCTGAGACCTACTAGGGTAGTGACTTTTATTAAGCAGGGAACTCTTGTTCAAACAAAATCCCACCCAAAATCTCAGTATACAAAAGTAAACTGAAAGGAGTGTTTGTCCCACAGAAAAAGGGTTTTAACTTAACTCATTGCTGTTGAGTCGATTCAACTCATGGCACAGAAGGGCAGTAAACTCTAAACCTTTGTTTCAGCACGCTTCTTCCCTCCTCCAGTACAACTAGAAAATCACTAACCTAGTAAAATCCTTTATTTTATAGAAGAGGAAATTGACAGTTCCAAAGTGATTAAAGGACTGAGCCCAGATCACTCACATAGCAGACTCAGAGTTCAAACCTCCAACACCTTCCTGGTTAATCAAAAAACAAACCAGATGCCATTGAGTTGACTCTGACTCAGCAACCCAACAGGACACAGAACTGTCCCACAGGTTTCCAAAGCTATAAACCTTACAGAAGCAGAGCTCCACACCTTTTTCATATATAGCAGCTGGTAGGTTTGAACTGCCAACCTTTCAGTTAGCAGCCACACGCTTTAACCACTGTTGTTTCACCTGGGCTCCTTCACTGTCTATTTAAGTGCCCCTTTCTACTGAATAAATGCTTCTCTATAGAACACATTAATTAATCCAATTCAGAGTGGCACAAAGAAAAGAGCTATAACAGAAATACATTAACTTTCAATGAACTCTCATGTCAATTCACAGGGTCCAATGATTTCAATTTCTCAAAATATCTACAGACTAGATGCCAATGTCTCATTCTTGCTCTTTAAATTTGCTGCTATGTTTCTATTTAGCAATAGGTTCCTCAAATTGCACATCAAAGACCTGATCAGGCAGGTCTACTATGAAGGCCAGGTAATTTTCAGTCCCTATTTTAACATATTCCTAAGTATCTTAGAGCAAATCCTATAAACAAAAAATTTGCAGGGAGAGGAGGATAAAGGGAAGTGAAGGGTTGTTGTTGTTAGGTACCATCAATCCAATTTCAACTTGAAGCAACCTTATCTGACAAAGCAAAACTGCCCAGTAGTTTTCTTGGCTGTAATCTTTATAGAAGCAGAGCAGATCATCAGATTCTTCTCCCATGGAGCTGCTAGGTAGGTTTAAACCTCCAACCTTTCAGCTGGCAGTCAATCACTTAACCTTCTGCACTACCAGGGCTCCTTGTATGATGAGCAACGTGGCAAAATCTAAACCTTTAAAATTAATATTAACACTTCTACAACACTGGATAATGCAAAGATTGCTTAGCTAGAACTAAACAGCTAATTTAATTCAGTATTTACCAAATAAATATTTAAGTATATACTAACGGTTAATTCACTTGGCTGCTAACAGAAAGCTTGAAGGTTCTATTCCACCCAAAGGCACTTCAGAATAAAGGTCTGGCGATCTACTTCCCCATTATCAGCCACTGAAAACCCTAGCAGTTATACTTTGACACACATGGGGTTGCTATGAGTTGGAATGGACTCCACTGTTAGTTAAATATGTTACACAGGTGATGCAGAAACATTGGGGAACAAATTGAAGGGATGTGATGATGTTGCCACTCAAAGAATATTTATGTAAGTCTTCTTATTCATTACATTTTAAAGGAAAGTTTTCTTACTCTTCACTTTAATAATGAACTACTTTTTGTTTCTATGTACCTGACCCTGTTGTTGTTTGTTGTTATGTGCCCTCGAGTCGGACCCAACTCATAGCGACCCCTCCTTGGGTTTCTGAGGTTGTATCACTACTGGAGTAGATTGCCCCATCTCCCTTACAACTTCCCTACAACTCCTAAAACAAGCTTAATCTTTCCCCACCCTCATCCAGTTCCTACATTTCTGCCTCAGAGACTCCTCCCAGAAGCCACACACTATTACTCGATGCCCTCCCTAACCAGTTCACCAAGCTTTCTTCCTTAGAGGCATATCCTAAAATCCCGTCTACTCTCCCAGGAAGCATTATATTGAAAGTCAACTTAATCTCTCTTTAGCCTTGCCCACAGTTTTTAACTACTTTTTTAACTACAGTTTTTAACTAGTAGTTTTTAACTACTTTAATTCTGTTCACTATCTTATAGTAAACATCTATTATTCTGTCCACAAGTTAATTTCATTTATTCATATACTTATTCAGTATATTATCCATTGATTTCGTTGGTTTCTAACACTGTTGCTCTTCTTAAACTAAAGCTACCAGATAAAGGGCCATGCCCTTAATTTGGACTAAGCACTGAAAATGCCAGATAAGCACTTCATGCTTTTGTAAAATGACTTCAAATATATTAAATTCAAACTAATTTGTGAAATCAATAAAACCTCCTATGGGAGGGGAGCTGTTGCATTGTAAATTTTGGTCAATGACATAAGGCAAAGTATATTATGTGAACTGCTGTATGAAAAGTGAATTTACTCTGTAAATCTTCACCCAAATCAAAATAAAATTTAAAAAAAAAAAAACCTCCTAACATGAATGAATCTCAAAAGCATTATGTGAAGTGAAAGAAGTCAGAAAATAAAGGACCTCATTCTGCATGATTTCACTTCTATGAAATTCTGAGAATAGTATGGAAAACGAATCAGTAGTTGTCAAGGGTCAGGGTTGGGGAGATGAACTGAATGCAAAGGGAGAGGAGGAAATTTTGGGGGGTGATGGAACCATTCTAGATCTTGACTGTGGTGGTGATTACAGGACTATACAGTGAATTTAAGAAGATGAATTGTAATTAATATAAATTATATTCCAACAAATCTGGTTAAATTGGGGGGAAAAAAACCCACCACCACCCAATGTGAAGATGTAATGTGATAAAAATATTAAATTATTCTAAACCAAAGTGTCCCATTCTGATGTGAACTCACCACATACTCAAAAGGAACTATATATAACTGCAGCGCCAAGAGACCCCTAAGTGTGTTATTATAAAAATGCTTTTATAAAGCCTATAGACTGAAATGAAAGTCCAATCTAAAAAGAAAGTCTTGTATTAACTTTGTTGGACTTCAAATGATTGTTGGAAATGGAAATAAGGTATCATATCGAATGCATTACTTAAAAATTAGAGTATTCATTTGTCCTGAAAAAATAAACCTATGTAACATTATTCTTTTTTGTTTTTTAATCGTGTTGTATCAGAGCCCTCAAAAGCAAAATGTTTTTGATGTTAAATCCATTCACATTTCCCATGTAGGGGATATTTCAATCAAGATTTCCATTCAGCCACAATAAGAAATTTTCCCACACAGCACAGGGTTTTTTCAGAGATGAGAATCATTCAGAATCTCAAATTTGGACCTTTCAAATTTCACATTAATCTTTACCTCATAATACCTGGAATTTTCTTCAAAAATAATTTACTTGATCACTTACAACCAATGTACATTTTTATCAATTTCTCCATTAAAAATATGTCATCATTGGAATTTTTTTTTTTTTTAATTGCCTCTAACCCTTATACTATCAGGCTTTCTCCCAACCCCCACCCCCAGGAGTCGCTTATTTTCCTCCTCCACTCTTCTGTTCTGAACTGGTTGCTCTCCAGCCCTCCGGTACTTCTGAAAGGTTATCAAATAAATAAATAGTACTGCTATAGAAACCTAGAGTGGTAGCTTCAACAGCACTGGAAATTAAAAAAAAAAAAAATTTTAAACAACTTCAGTTGTTTCCACATAGAATGAATGGATGCAAATCTATACCTTAATTCAAGAAATTCAAGACTTGAGAATAAAAAATGGAATAGAGAAAGAAACTACAAATAAATACCATTCCATTTAATCCGCAATTATCTCTTTTTGCTAATGTTATCTGAATAATTGTTGGAAAATGGCTGGGTTTTAAACTGTTTTAGTCTCTATTCTAGACAAGTCTTTACAGTCAAACTACTCTAATAATACTAATATCCTTGATAATAAAGTTCACCACTTAAGAAAACACATTTTTTAAAAAAATCTGGTCATCTTTTATTCTGATTACTACTTGTAATTGCCTTCACCAATATCTCATATCCCAAAAGACCATAATTTCCCTAATGCGAAGTTTTACCGACAAAGTAACTCAACAGGTTAAAATTACTTATCAAACTAGAGTTAAGTGATTATCCCTTCTTTTAATACAACAGTTTTGATTAATTTTCAACATAGCTGGTGTTCCTCAAACTGCCTTTGCCATAGCCCATAAAAATTTAGTTCTAAGACCAGAATGTAACAAAAGTTACCACTGATGAAAGGAAAGAGTAATTAACGCCCTTATGAGAAACAGGAAAAGATTTTTACACCGTGTAATTTGACAATTTTGCGTCGCATCTGCTGCAGAGACTACAAACAGGCTGTCATTATGCCTTGTACTTCCTCAAACCCCAAGGCCTCCTGCAGCTTTACTTTTGGCTTTTCTAAGGTTTAATACACTCAGGACAGCTAAAGGGAAATTAAAAAAGCATGACTTGTGAACCAAAGAATAGGAAAGGGCAGGAAAATGGGGTTGAGTCACGTCGTTCCGCCATTTTCTAAGCGGAGGAGGAAGACATGTTGGAACAAAAACACAACAAAAGAGCAGCCATTTCCCAAGTCAGCTCCAATAGCAACCCGAACTGGCTGAGCCAGGTCACTTCGGCACCTTCAAATCTACTTCACTGGACAAACGTAGTAACATCAGAGGTGCCGACGCAAAGAAAGCAGCAGCCAACCCTTCAGCGTAGGGATCAAAGATGACCCGCATAGTTTACTGCGAATGAAAGCCTCGGGAAGAATGACGGAAGCTAAATGGAACAGAGTGTTAACAAACTGAAATTCTAAACTAAGTTAGCAAACTAAAATACTCAGTGATTGTGGTGACTGACGGTTCATAGGAAACCACCGGTGTAGGCAACTCAAGTAGCTGCAATAACAAGCTCGGGATTCAGCTGGTTCTATTAACCTGCTGCTACCCATTTCCCCATTACATGCTTCCCTCAGTGGATCGCTTCTTTGCTTGTGGGTTCTTACCGTATGTGAGGGATGCCAACCCCACCTTGAAGGATCTTATAGAGTTTGCTCTCGTACAGCAACTGGGGATGCCTGGCCTTCTGAGATTCTAGCTTCACTGCCACTTCCTGCAGGGGAAAGAGGGGATGATGGCATCAACATCCCTATGGATTCAATGTCACTTGGGAAAAGGAGGTGAGACATGAGTAAAGCTCCAACTTGCGACTACAAGGTGGAAGTGAAAGGGTACGAAGAGAAAGTTCTTTGTAATTGTAAAACAAGGTATCGGCTTCAAAAGCCTCTTCTGGGATAGTGACGAAATCGGTACGTCCTCTTTAAGTGCAGGAAAATGATTCATCCAGAAAAAAGAGGCAACCTCTGAGCGTAAGGAAAGGTTGTGAAGGATCTGGGCGATGGAACACTGTCCTAATTGGAACAATAATCCCCCTAAAACCTATACATAGGTAGATAGATCACAGAAATAGAATGTTGCCTTTCTCACTTTAAACGATGATTTTCATATTTTATAAAAAAAGTTCGATGAAGGGACATTTTAAAAACTAGAAAACTTAATAGCTCACTCAACCGTTCCCTCGAGTTCTTTCCCTTTTAGGGAAAAAACAGCGGGGGAGGTTCCTGTGCTAGGAAAAGTGGCTCCCCCTGGGTTCCCCACTGCGTGCGTGCGTGCGGGGGGTGGGAGGAGGGGGCCAGAGCAGTTTAGGTGGGGAGGTGAGGAAAGGGGCAGCATTATCTTGAACCCCACCCCACAGAGTTACCTCGCCGTTGGTGATGTTGATCGCCAAATAAATGTCCCCGAAGGAACCAGACCCGATCTTCCGTACCAGTTTATATTTCCCTCCGACAATGAATTCGGCTTTGGAGCCACTGCTGCTCGCCATCCTGAGAAACGAAGATGGAGGGCTGGGGCTAAGCCCCGACACCTAGGAGGGCAAGACGGAGACCTCTGGGGCTGGTCCACAGAGCGAGGGTGCGGAGAAGGACGGCAAGAAACGGAAAACAGAGGCCCTTTCTCAGCGTTACAGGGCACAGAACCGGCCTAAAGAAGGCTGATCACCACCCCTCAGTCAGGTTTCTTTTTGCCAGGCCGCAGTTTGTAAAGGGGTTCTTGCGGTCAGGAGGCTGGGCCACTTGCTTCTGGGCGGCTGCTGCTGCTTCGCTTTCGCGGCTACGTGTCCCGGGCTGGAAAAGGGGCGCGGTAGGTTAGGGCGGCGCTACCGCTGCCACTGCCGCCGGCTCCCGCCCGGAGGAACCCCTGTCACTCCGCCGACGCCGCCATCTTGTTCCACCGGCTCCAGCCAACACAAAATGCCCCCAGTCTCCGGGAGCCGCTTCTTCACGGCGCAGAGCACGCTGGGAAAGGGCTCTCAGGCGCTAGCCCCACCGGGTACACAAGCGAGAAGGAGGGCGGAACCGGATCCGTGCAGGAGCTGGCTCACGCTCCCAGCGTCATCCCATCACCGCCCAGCTGCGCTTGAGCATTGTAACACTTGCTGACTGCGCAGGCGTGCCGCTGCCGTTCCTCATCCCCGCCCTGGGCTCACTTCCACTTCCGGTCGTCGTCAGTTCCATTCTTGTTGTCTGTTACCTGGGAGCCGCCTGGTGTCTTAAAGGCCGCGGAGCCCCAAACCTTGAAAGCATATTAGAGAGGTGTCACGTTCATATTTCGGGGAATAAAGAAGCTTCAGGCCTGCTTGGAAATCTGGTATTAACCTTTGTTCTTTGAGGTGGTTTTTAACGTTTGATCTCCGAGTCACTCTCCCAGACCGGCTTATTCTAGCCCAATTTCTGTTTTCAAAAAGGCTAACGCCTCTGGTGGAGAGGAAGAGAAAAGCAGTCCTTGGCCAACCGAGTTTAAAAGGACTGGTTCAGAGCTCCTGGCTTTAACAGAGTGTAGCTCAAATGGTGTCTGAATTTATGTTAAGACTCAAAATGGAGTTAATGCTCCCGATGCAGACTTCCACAAACCAAGTGCTTTAGAATTTAAGCTCGCATACAAATGCTATATGAGTGAGTGTGGACTTCAAATGTGATTTCAACTGAATCTTTGTTAAGATAAATGCTCAACAGATTTAGAAAGAGCAAAAGGGTTTTGTTTTTGCTTTTAATTTTTTGTAGAAAATGAAGGTTTTGGGTGTTGACTATTATACTCAGCCTTTTCAAAATCATGCATCATTTGCAGTAATTTTTAGCATAAGCAACTAAATAAAGTATTACCTGCTTATGGTGTTGCTACTTAAAAGTTAAAAATCATTCTGTACTTACTGAATCAGCAGCAGCTTTGGTGTAACGAGAGCCTTCTAAAATGTACCAAAGATGTAATTTCTGGCTCCTGGGTCAGGTGAATTTCCTAAAAGTATAATCAAAAGTATAGACAAAAATGTTAGACCTTAAGAGAAATTTAGAGATCATCTAATATAATAAAATAAAGGAGAAATTTTTTGACTGAAAGGAATGACTGAGTTGAACTCAGTTCTTGCTGAATTAAACTGTTCTGCCCGCCTAAGAATCTAGTTTGCCCTGCTATTGTTAACCCACCTTACAAGCTCCTGTTATTTGGCAGTGTTAATTGCTAGAAGCCATAAAAACTAAGAAGTAATTGAATTTCCCTCTATACTGAAGCCAATATGTAAAAGAAATACACTCTAAGGAACAGGATCTTGACACAGGTATCTTTTGGATCAGGTGGGCCCAAAAAACATTTTTTCATGCAAAGATGCAATAAAGAGAATTGCTTAAAAGGGTTTGGAGCCAGCCTTACTGAAGTTTCCCAGACCACTTAAAAGCTTGTTGTTTAAGGAGCTGTTTTGGGGAAATGAGTTCCTGATACCAAAGAAAGGTGATCCCACAAAATGTAGAAATTATAGAACAATATCATTAATATCACATGCAAGTAAGATCTTACTGAAGATAATTCAGAAACGTTTGCAGCAGTATATTGA